AAAGCCTTCCTGGCACTTTCCTTTAAATCTACAAAAAAGGCACACATTCCCCCACAGGCAATATGGGGACGAAGCCTCCCAGATCAGCCTTGGTTTGGCTTTCTTTTGTAGAGATGGGGCTGTACTGTATTTTACAAAGCTGGCAAAGGTATAAGGGGACACCCTACCCCTATAACGGGAAACCCTTGCCAGGGCAAGCCTGTAGGCATAGGGTGACTTTTAAAAAGGGGCCTTTGTTTAAATGGGGGGTTTGGACACTAAAAGAAAGAAAGCATAAAGGGGGGAAAGGCCCCAAAAACCTGGTGGTCCTGGTCAAGGACAGAAAAGGGTTTATCTGCCTGATGAACTTTTTCCAAACCCCCTAAATCGACAGGAGGGGGAACCCCCCTTTAAATAGAAAGTAAAAGAAAAGGGCGGACTCTTTTGCTGAACACTTTGCTCCCAAAATGCAATTTCCCTTGTTTCCAGCGGGGACCCCCCTTTGGGGCTAGCGGGAAAGAACTGTGTCAAAATGTCAGTGGTGACAATAAGGCGGAGGGGGGTGCATTTCCTTTTTAAATCGTTTGACCAAGGAAAAGGCTGTGGGCCCAAAAAAATTTTGAGCCCAAGATTGTTGAGAAGATGTGCGGGACCAGCTAGAAAGCACCTCAAACTCCCCATTTTCAGCACTCCCTAGTAAGTGTAAAAGGGCCCCCTCTCTATAAAAAGGGAGGCAAATGTAGCCCCTGTTAAACAAAAAAAAGGGAGCAGAGCGGGAAATCAGCAACTACAAGACAGTGTCACTCCTGTCAATCACTGGTAGATCCTTGAGACAATAATTCAAGACAAATGACAGATTTTTTTTGACTCCCCACCCCACTTTTTTTGGGGATGCCCAATAGGGCTTAAAAGGAAAAAGGTTTTACTCGCTGCTGATTGTTTTTTAAACCTCCCCACTAAGTGGACCAGTCACTGGATGAACCCAAAAAGTCGCTGTGTGGGTAGCACTGGAACATTGCTGGCGCTTCGACGGGTGAGGGCACCAGGGCCTCTTAGAAAAAACTTCAAGCACGGGGAATTTCCCGGCTCTAGTAGGGTTTCCTCAGTGATTACCTTCAGGGTAGTTTCTCTAAGTGAAATTCTAAATTTGGAAGGGAAAAATCAGCAAGACATATTTTGGGGCCCCAAGTTTTTCCACAAGGAAGCATGCGGGGGTCCATTGTTATGGAATGTCTATTTTCAATGACCTTTTTCATCTCATCCCAGAATCCATGAAATTTTGCAGAGGGACTTTTACACTGACATTCACTTACCCAAGAGAAAAAAATGCCAGCTTCTCTAAGTACATCAATAAACCAGTTTGAGGCTTTAGCGGGTTTGGGGGGAAATTTAGAGGGGGCAAGAAAACATTTCCCAACCTGAAAAACACAAATGATGATCTCTTTAGGCAAAAATGAGGGTAATGTAAATTTGCATTTAGAAAGGGGATGAATGGGGGGGGTTTTGGGCCCACCTGGAGAAGAATTGTTTCCCTTGGGGTTTAAAAATTTGACCCCCAAAAAATAACCAGGGAAAAACCATGTTGAAAATCTTGAAAAACAAGGCAGCCAGGAACTTACAGCACTTCGCCGTTTCTCGCATCTCCCTTTGGACAGTAGGGGTTGAAAAGATCCTCTACAAAGGCACAATACCCCTCAAACCTTGAGTATGCTCCACTTTCTTGGTTTGCTGCCCCCCCCCCCCTCATCGCGACTGCTTGACAGGTAGAGAACAGAGAAAGACGTCTCATCTCTCGCCCGGACCCATCCGGATAGATCTGGCACTTCCCGCAGAACCCTTTAACATGGGGAAAGGGGTGGGTGGCCTTTCTGTTTTGTAAAAAGGCCCAAAATTGTCAAAATTTCCACACTTGGAAACCCCTTCGAGGGGCAGCGGGGAAACAAGTTTTATGCCACAAGAAAGGGCAGAAAGCAGGCCCAAAATTTAATCTGGGTGTACCCTTCTCCCCCAAAAATCACTCCATTTTGAGATCATAATACCCAGGTTGGGCTCGAGTATGGAAAAACATTCTACAGCCCTAAAAGATGTCAAAGAGATAAAGTCAGTTTTATCAAATGAAAATGCTGGGGGCCCCCAGATTTGGGTCCCAAATTCATCCCCGTTCCCTACTTGTATGTTCATAACAAAAAAAATGCTCTCAAAAGAGCTGATGTAGGGTTAAAAAAAACTCTTAGCTTGCCAATAAAGTTAGGGAAACCCTTTAAACCCGTAAAAAGTTGTCAAAAAAAAGCTGGGATCCTTAACCTTGTCAAACCCCGTGTAAAAAAAAAAAAAAAAAAAAAAAAAAATTAAAGGAAACCCAGAGAAAAAAGGATTTGTCAGGGTTAAAAATTTGGGAGGAGGTTATTAAATGGAGAGTTAGGGGGTAGATGGAAGTGGAGGGAATATTTTAGGAATTGTTTTAAAAGTTGATGAAGATAGGGAAACTGTGATTTCGGTTTTATAGGGCAAGGAGGAATAAATCTTGTAAAGGGGTGAGGAAGAGCCCGTTGTGGTGTGGGGGAAAAATTCGTGAGGGGATAGGGTAAAAGGGAAAAAGGGTAAGGCAGTGGGATTTATGGGATTTAAAAATGAAATGTTAAAAGCAGGGGGATTTTTGTTTTGGGGGTGGTTGGGGGCAATTATTTAAAAAAATGTTGGGAAAAGGGTTTAAAGGGACCTAGGGATTGGGAGGGGAGCATGCATAGTTTTCCCTTTTTATAAAGGAAAAAGGGGGCAAAAGAGGTGCAAAAAATTTTAGGGGGATAAGCTGTTGAGTATACCTGGTAAAGTGTTTGGGGAGTTATTATTTAAAGAATTAAAAAGTAAAAACGGAGAATAGGATAGCACACCCCCTACCTTAGGGAAAAGGGAGGGGGTGGGGTGGACCAGGTGTTTACAGTGAAAACAAAAGTGAAAAAGTTTTTTAGATAAAGGCCCAAAGAGGTCTTTGTGGGATTTATGGAAATTTTGGGAAAAGGGGTATGACAGGGTGGGGGTAGGGGGACAATGTGGCAGATGTTGCAGGTTTTATGGTGTAGGAGGTGGGTTACTGAAAAACAGTGAAAAGTTTTTTTTTGGGATTAATGAGGCTCCAAATTAGAGTATGTTGTAAAGAGGGAAAAATTTTTTCCCAGAAAAAGTAGGCCTTGGGCAAGGATGTTTTGTGTCCCGTGGTTATTTTTTTTTATTTTAGAGGGGTTGTAAAAAGAGCAAATTTCGGGGTCTTTGGGAAGGGGGCTTTGGGGGTTAAAAAAAAAAGAAAACACACATAAAGTGGGAGGTTTTCACATTTGGGTCTTTGTGGACACTTTTCCTTGGGGTTTTAAGAAATTGCAGAATTTTGGGGGAGAAATTTTGGAAGGGGGAAAACAAAAAAAAAATTTAAAAAACAGGAAAGAGTAAGGTTTTTAAAACAAAAAAAGATTATATAAAATAAATTTTTTCAAATTTTAAAAATTAATAAAAATTTTTTTTAATATTTAATTTAAAATTCCCAAACCCCCCCTGGTTTTTGTTTTGGGGGGGTCCCCCCCCCCCCCCCCTTTTTAAAAGGGGGGGTTCCCCCCAAAAAAACGGGGAGGGGCCAAAAAGGGGAAAAGGGGGGTTTGGGAAGGGGGGCAAAAAGGGAGGGGAAAAGCATGAGGGGGTTTGCTTTACCAACGTTTATATGGGTGGAAGCATGGGTGATGAAAGTTGCAGCGAGGAGAAGGCTGGGGGGCAGTGGGGGATGTCTGTCTGGGGGGAAGGGGTGGTTTTGAATTTAATTTCAGGAATTTGTAGTTTGGAAGGGAGGAGGAGGTGCGGGTTTTCCAAAAATGTTTTTCCAGAGGGCTGGGGGGAAGGGTTGTTGAGGTGGTTCGGAAATGTAGAGAGAATGGAGCGAAAAAAGAATGGGCTTCAAGAAATGTATCAGTCTGTAGTGGAAGGAAGGCGGGGGGGGGGGTCGGCCCAGGAAGGCCGGGGGGAGGGGGTTTAAAAGGGGGTTTTGTAAGTTTCGGGGGGGCTTTGACTTCCCGCAGGATGCGTGAGCATGGTTTTTATAGGAGTGGAAAAGGAGACAAATGGTTTTTTAAAACTTTTACGTGCTGTTGGAGTGGGGCAAAGTAAAATTTATGGGGGGGGTTCAAGGAAACCGGCAGGGCCCGGGCTTGGGGTCCTGGAGGGTGGGAAGTACAGTGGCCCGCACTTTTTTAAGGGGGGGTGTTAATGTTGCAGTTTAAAAAACTTTTAGTTTTAAAACACCCTTTGGGAAGCAGTGATGGGTGAATGATGGGGAAAATTTTTCTTTTTCGGGGGCCCCCCTGCCCCTTTGGGGGGATTCGGGGCCCGGTGGGTGATAATAAAAATAATAAAAAAAAAGTAAAGGGTTTTTCAGATGGAAAAGAGCAGCTTTTTAGCTATTAAAAATTTCCTAAAGGTATACTAGGGCCCAAAACCCAAATGAAGATACCTGTGCATTAGTATATACCAAACAGCTCTTTTACCCCCCATGCAACTACTGGGAAATTATTCTGGGTAGGTTTAGATTTGTTTTATTCTTGTATTCTGTATCAAAAAAAATTGGAGAACAAGAAGGATCCCCCAAAAATGATTTAAGGGAAAGGGAAAAACAAAGGGAAAAATTTCAATACCATGGAAGGAAAAAATTCCCCAAAAAACCCCCCATTTTTTTAGAGGAAAAGGGAGGGAAAACATTTTTGTTTTCCAAGGTTGTTATTTAAGTCAAAATCTGTTGGGGACTTGAAAAACGCCCAGGATGAATCAAAACGATGTCCAAAAATTTCTCTACAAAGTGTGGGCTATTTGTGATAACTGTGCATACAATGTATTGTACTCTTGTATCAGTGCTACATCTCCTTCTATGTCAAATCTTTCACCACCTTCAGCCTGCTCACAGCACCTTGACTCACCAGAAACAAAAGTTCAGAATGCCAGTTTGAGAGCCAAGTTACCCACAGGGAAGATGACCATGTACTCACATTAGCAGGTGGATGCTGAAGGGGATTATTGTCAAGAGTGAGGCTAATGAGGGAGGACATGAATCGCAGTTCAGTAGGTAGTGTCGCTATCCGGTTACAACTGAGGTCCATAAATACCAACCGCAGAAAACACAATTCTGAAAGAAATATGAAATCTAACAAGATCTTGAAAATATATAAAAGTGGAAAGCATTTATCAGAAATATAAGACAAAAAATGAGCAACTAGTCTTTACATATTACTACATTTTTTCTTCTTCTTTCAACAAAGCGGCTGTATCCCACCGAGGCAGGGTGGCCCCAAAAAGAAAAACAAAAGTTTCTCTTTTTAAACTTAGTAATTTATACAGGAGAAGGGGTTATATTACTACATACACACTATAATACAAAATTCTGTAATGCACCATACGGGGAAATAAAGCTACTGTACCTAATGAACTACCATAACTCTGACATTCATTATTTTCAATAATCCTTGCAATACAGGAGAGCCCTGCTTTACAGAGCTTCACTATACAGTGTTTTGCTAATGCAGCAGATTTCAATTATACCATTTCTCCATTTATTCAAACTTCCTACCATAAATACATTCACCACTCACTATAAGCTAAGGACAACCCAAAAGGTTTCTTTCAGATACATAGAAGTAAGATTAGGGACAAGACTGACTCACTCAAAAGTAACTCAGGTCAGATCAGTGACAGTGATAAGGAAATGTGTAAAATTTTTAACTCTTTTTTCCTCTCAGTTTTTACACAGGAAGTTGCCAGCGAAATTCCAGAAATAATAAATTATGTAGAATAGGACAATAATAAACTGTGCACGATTAGGGTAGCTAGCAACATGGTCTTCAGACAAACAGAGAAATTAAAACCTAACAAATCCTCAGGCCCTTATGAACTGTTTGCAAGAGTTTTAACCCTTCGGGGGTTTTGGCCATACTAGTACGGCTTACGCATCAGGGATTTGACGTACTGGTACTCATAAATTCTAGCGCCCTCAAATCTAGCAAGAGAAAGCTGGTAGGCCTACATATGAAAGAATGGGTCTATGTGGTCAGTGTGCGCAGTATAAAAAAAATCCTGCAGCACACAGTGCGTAATGAAAAAAAAAAAAACTTTGATCGTGTTTTTGGAATAAACAGCGACTTTGCACCGTATTTTCGTATGGTATTTATTGTTGTATTCTAGTTTTCTTGGTCTCATTTTATAGAATGAGACATATTACAGAATTGAGATTATTTTGACTGGTTTTACAATTAAAAGTACCTTGAAATTGAGCACAAAGTAGCAGAAATGTTCGATTTTTACCAAAGTTCAAAAGTAAACAAATCATACTAAGCGTCCAATACACGTCAACTGGCGAGTCTTAATATTCTTTCACAAGTGTGCCGATATTATTTATACCATTTCTACACTAATGCAGTAGTCTGCATAACAGTAAATCTTTTTTTTTTTTTTTTTGAGAATAAAAAATCAAAGTGGAAAGTAAACGAAATGTAAGAAAGGCCTGGGGATGTGACTAATGAACAGAGGAAATGTTATTTTAGTGCCAGGAATGTCTTTCTAGTTTATTCTGGACCCTATTTGGAAATTGGCATCTTTTGAAATTTGCGTGAAATTGGCAAAAATTGCTAAATTCTGACCACTTTATTGGATAGTTGATATCGGTAAATGGGTGGTTTCTTGTACTCATTCGATAGAAAAAAAACAGAGTTCTAGCGAAATAGTTATGATTTTTGTCGACTAGTACACTGGAATTGGCCAAAAATAGGGCTCAAAGTGGGCAAAATCGCTGATGCGTAAACATCGTCGAGACCGCTAACTTCGTGAGAGCATAATTCCTTAAGTTTTCCATCAAATTTCATACTTTTGGTGTCATTATGATCGGGAAAAGATTCTCTATCTTTTCATAAGAAAAAATAATTTTTTTTTTTTTTAAATTTTGGCGACCCTTAGAGGGCCTGGCGACCCCCAAAGGGTTAAAGGAATGTAAAGAGGAGCTTAGCAAACCTTTGGCTAGTCTTTTCAACATATCACTACAAACTAGCATGGTGCCAGACAAGTGGAATATGGAAAATGTAATACCTATTTACAAAGCAGGAGAGGGGCCCTTAGCTTCAAACTATAGACCAATAAGCTTTAACTCCATAGTGGGAAAATTTATGGAATCAATAATTGCCGAGGCAATTCGTAGCCATCTTTAAAGGTATAAATTGATTAAAGAATCTCAGCACAGTTATACAAAGGGGCGTTCCTGCCTTACGAATTTACTAACGTTTATCGCCAAGATATTTGAGGACGTAGATCATAGTAATGAATATAATATTGTGTATATATGGACTTCAGTAAGGCTTTTGATAGAGTTCCACATCACAGGCTATTGAGGAAAATTAAGGCACACAAAACAAGAAAATTTTTTTACTGGGTAGAGGTGTGGTTGACAGACAGGCAGCAGAGAGTTTGCATCAATGGGGAAAATCAGAGTAGGGGTGCGTCACGAGCGGTGTTCCACAAGGGTCAGTGTTGGGCCCTTTGTTGTTCACAGTTTATATAAACGACACTGATGAGGGAATAAATAGCGACATAAGCAAGTTTGCCGATGACACTAAAATAGGTCACCTAATTCATTCTAATGAGGGCATTAGAGCACTCCAGGAAGATTTCAATAGACTGATGCAGTGGTTGGAGAAGTGGCAGATGCAGTTTAATATAAACAACTGCAAAGTTCTCAACATTGGACAAGAAAATAACCATGCCACATATAAACTATATAATGCAGATTTTAATGTTACTGATTGCAAAAAAGATTTGGGAGTTCTGGTTAGCAGTAATCTAAAACCAAGACAACAGTGCATAAGTGTTTGCAATAAAGCGAACAGAATCCTTGGCTTCATATCAAGGAGCATAAATAATAGGAGCCCTCAGGTTGTTCTTCAATTGTATATATCTTTGGTTAGGCCTCACCAAAATTATCGGTGAGAAGCAGCTGATTGCTTGTTCAGCATCTGTGCAGGCACAGTTTGGAAAGAAGTGGTTGGTAGGCTTCAAACTTAGCCAAATAATTTACTTGTCTGAAGACGAAGAAAGTTGTGGGGTTTGAAGAGTGCTTTGACCTATCAGATCACTCAAAACTTGATAAAACCTCTACAGAGGAAACATAATCCTAAACTGTGAAACATAGTCCTAATAAAAGCTTGTTTGACAAACAGATCTTATGTTCATCACTCAGAACTTTTGGTATACTTTTCATGAGTTTCGAGAGTCTCATTACTCTCAGATCCTGGTCATGGGCCAGGCTCGTTCGGTGCTTGCTTGGTCAACCAGGCTGTTGCTGAAAACCCGCTGCCCCACACATCCATCACACCCTGGTTGATCTAGCACCTGGTGAAGATACTTGTCCATTTTCTCTTGAAGGCTTCTACACTTGTTCCAGCCATGTTTTTGCTATCTTCTGGTAAGATGTTGACTAGTCTGGGGCCACAAATGTTGATACAGTATTCCTTTATTGTCCCCACCGCACCCCTGCTCCTCAATTGGTTTATTTTTCACTTTCTATTATCTCTCACTCCAGTATGTTGTTATGGCAGTGTGCAGATTTGGGACCATGCCCTCGAGTACTTTCCAGGTACATATATATTATCAGGTATGTATATATTATCATGTATCTCTCTCCTCTGCCCCAGTGAGTAGATGTAACAATAATACAAACCCACATAAGAAATCAAAGGTATAACTATGTAACTTACCTGGGGGAAGAGTCTGGAGCAAGTTTCTGCGGAGGTTGAGACTGCGTAGGGTGTCAAGCTCGCCCAGTGCAGGAGGCAGGTGTGCCAGCTGGTTATAGGAGGCATTGAGCTCCATGAGATTTCTAAGGTGCCCCACCTCCTCAGGGAGGCTGACCAGGCGGTTACCGGAGACATCAAGGACACGTAGGGCAGCCAGGGCACACACACACCCAGGCACCACTGACAGCTGGTTGCGGCTGTAACAGTGCAGTAAGATAAGATAAGATAAGATTTCGTTCGGATTTTTAACCCCAGAGGGTTAGCCACCCAGGATAACCCAAGAAAGTCAGTGCGTCATCAAGGACTGTCTAACTTATTTCCATTGGGGTCCTTAATCTTGTCCCCCAGGATGCGACCCACACCAGTCGACTAACACCCAGGTACCTATTTGCTGCTAGGTGAACAGGACAACAGGTGTAAGGAAACTTGTCGAAATGTTTCCACCCGCCGGGAATCGAACCCGGGCCCTCCGTGTGTGAAGCGGGAGCTTTAGCCACCAGGCCCCCTCTCTTTTTTCTACACAGGGTTTGACAAGGTTAGTTTAAGGATCCCTAGGTTTATTAACAAGCTATTTAAAAGTTAAGCATTCCCAACATTATTGGCAAACTAAGAGCTGTTACCTACATCAGCTCATTTGAAAGTATTTTTTATTGTTATGAGACATACAAGTAGGGAACGGGAAGAAGTTGGAGCCATCTGTGGGCCAGCATTTTCACTTGATCAACTGACTTCATCTCCTTGACATCATAATGCTGTACGAATGCGTTCCAGACACGAGTCATCCTGGGTATATATGATCTCAGATGATCTATCTATCTATCTATCTATCTATCTATCTATCTATCTCTCTCTCTCTCTCTCTTTACACAGGGTTTGACAAGCTAAGGATCCTTAACTTCATTGACAAGCTATTTACAAGTTAAGGATTCCTAACTTTATTGACAAGTTAAGAGCATTCTCTCTCTCTCTCTCTCTCTCTCTCTCTCTCTCTCTCTCTCTCTCTCTCTCTTTCTCCCTCCCTCCCCCTCTCTCTCTCCTCCTCTCTCTCCCTCTCTCCTCCTCTCTCTCTCCCTCTCTCTCTCTCTCCCCTCTCTATCTCTCTCTCTCCTCTTATCTCTCTCTCTCCCTCTATCTCTCTCTCTCTTCTCTATCTCTCTCTCTCCCTCTATCTCTCTCTCTCCCTCTATCTCTCTCTCTCCCTCTATCTCTCTCTCTCCCTCTCTCTCTCTCTCTCCCTCTCTCTCTCTCTCGCTCTGTTTTACGCAGGGTTTGACAAGGTTAAGGATCCCTAGCTTTATTGACAAGCTAGTGGATCCAAGTGTGGTACTTTAACAATATTGGCCTTGTACATGAGTTAAGAAATCGTAATGACACGATTGCAAACAAACCATACCCCCGGCCGGGATTGAACCCACGGTCATAGAGTCTCTATGACCGCGGGTTCAATCCCGGCCGGGGGTATGGTTTGGCCTTGTACATAACAGTAAGGCCACCCACATCCCTCCTGTGTTGAAGGCTCTGCTGAAATGACAGATCTATCCAGGATGGGTCCAGGCGAGAGATGAGACGTCTTGCTCTGTTCTCTACTCTGTCAAGCAGTCGCAGATAAGTGTGGGGGGAGGGGGGGCAGACAAATCAAGAAAGTGGAGCATATTCAAGGTGTGAGCATACTTGTGCCTCTTACAGAATCTTGCAACCCCTACTGTCGAGCAGATGCGAGATACGGCGAAATGCTGTAAGCTTCCTGGCTGCCTTGTTTGCAAGATTTACAACATAGTTCTTCATGGTTAGTTTGGAGTCAAATTTCACCCCAAGGGTATCAGCTTCTTCTCCAGGTGCCAACACCCTCCCATTCATCCTTACTACTGCACCAGCATTACCATCATGGTGCCTAGAGATGATCATCATTTGCGTTTTCTCAGGTGCAAATGTTACTTGCCATCTATTTCCCCAAGCTGATATAGCTCTTAGCTGGTGATTGACGTAGCTTAGAGCAGCTGTCATTTCTTCTCTTGGATAAGTGAATGTCAGTGTACAGTCGTCTGCATATGCTTGTGATTCTGGGATGAGATGAAGGTCGTTGAAGTAGACATTCCATAACAATGGTCCCAGCACGCTTCCTTGTGGAACACTTGCCCCAATATGATGTCTTGCTGATTCCGTTCCATTGAGAACTACACTTAGAGATCTACCATGAAGGTAATCACTGAGGAGACATAGCGTAGAGCCTGCAATTCCCAGTGCTTGAAGTTTTGCTAAGAGGCCCTGGTGCCACACCCGGTCGAAAGTGCCAGCAATGTCCAGTGCTACCACACAGCTGACTTTGGATTCATCCAGTGACTGGTGCCACTTAGTGGAGAGGTTTAACAACAGAGCAGCAGCAGAGTAACCTTTCCTGAAGCCATATTGACGATCACAAAGTAGTGAGTGATAGTCAAAAAACTCTGTCGTTTGTCTTGAGATTATTGTCTCTAGGATCTTACCAGTGATTGACAGGAGTGACACTGGTCTGTAGTTGCTGATTTCTGCTCTGCTCTTCTTTTTGTGAACAGGGACTACATTTGCCTCTTTCCATAGAGAGGGCCATTTACACTGTACTAGGCAGTGCTGAAAGATGCGAGTTAGAGGTGCTGCTAGCTGGTCTGCACATCTTCTCAGTAATCTTGGGCTCAACTAGTCTGGGCCCACAGCCACCCTCTACCATCACAACCACTACCACCCTCTACCACCATCACAACCACTACCACCCTCTGCCATCATCACAACCACTACCACCCTCAACCATCACAACCACTACCACCCTCTACCACCATCACAATCACTACCACCCTCTACCATCATCACAACCACTACCACCTTCTACCACCATCACAACCATTACCACCCCCTACCACCATCACAACCACTACCACCCTCTACCACCATCACTACCACCCTCTACCACCAATGTTTTGGATGAACGCGTGTGGTATTGCTCAATGAACAAGTGACAGAGGCAGACTGAGTCACCTGTGAGCGGCGCGTCCAGGGCGGGTGGACAAGTCTGATACGGACGATGGATGATTTCCGGGAGGAGGTATGAAACACCGGGTAAAATTTCGCCCAAAAAAGTAGTCGAAATTCGAATTGTACGATATCCTCACTGGACGAAATCCAGAGTTCCACTGTACATACATACATACTGTATATATATAAACACACTGGCCGTCTCCCTGCCCCTTCCCCCACCAACACATATTAAACACACGATTGTCGTTCCTGAGGTCTGGTCTTATACTAGGTCTCCTATAACAATTATTGTATTCATGGGAAACTGCTTAACTTGTTGGGGCAATAATACATTGCTTGGGGAATGGGAAATAATCAGATTTGACCTAAGGAAGGGAAGAGTAGCTCTTGATTCTTTGGATTATGAACCCTTCAGCAGCATGAAAGCAACACCACTGAAGGTACTGGGACAGCTGAATTAGTCTTCCATTAAGAGAGGCAGTATGGTTGTAAGATGAGCCAGCTAGGAAACTTGCTTGCTTGCTTGCTCCTCTTCTATAGACCTGCTTTTCTGGTCTCTAGGGACTGATCACATTTACTTTCCAGTGTGTTTAGTATATGCCTCTAACACCTAAATTTAAACTTCTAAAGCATCCCACTTACCACTCTGAAACTTAATAAGTCCTCCCTAATGATCTCCTTCAAGCAGGAGGGGGTAGGGGTCTTGAAGCTGATGAAAATGCTCTCGACCCAAGGTATTGGACCTACCCTTCCCCTTCCTTGAATCAAACCTGATTGCCGTCCATTACTCAAGTGGTATGTCATGGATCTGGCACTTCTCCAAGAGTGTAATACTAATTAATAATGTGAATTTATCTGTTATCCACGTCTCTGGCTCCCTATTCTGTTGCTATCCACTATCTAGTTCAGTATTTTACGTCTGACCTCAATTTCACAAGTTTTTGAGGCATTCAATTTAATCACATTAAATTTTAATACAACAGAGGTTTCACTCACTCCATTATAACAAACTTGTTTATTACCAGCCTCACTATGGAAACTCAGTAACCTCAAGTTTAATCTCCTATTGTTACGTAACACATTGCAAGCACTTTGACTTGTCTTGGAAACTTCAAATATCTGAACTTGTTAAAAGTGTTTGTTAAAAGTGCTTGTTAAAAAGTCGCTTGCCTAACCCTTGGGCACGACCTACTTCCACATTGAACAAATGCGACACCATCTACGACTGCTGCACCTCTCCTACCTACGGTTTATAAGCTCCTCCGCTCACATGCCGTATTCTATCCAAGATTGATGGACTGACCACATCCACTCAAGGTTGAGGGACTGATTACCTCATTCTCCTCCTGTTCTTCAAGATTCTCCTTTGTATGGACTGATGAAGCCACTGTGTGGCGAAACGTTTCCCCAATAAAGATACCCAAGAGTTGCACATGTATCTAATTTATCAAGGTTTCATTTCTTGATGTAGTTCTGGGTAAACTATTTCTCATTAGTTCCTTTGACCAGAATTGGGAATGAAAGCCAGACAAAGTTTTTGTCCATCCTGGAACTGTGAAACTAAGATCTCATATCATCCCTGACACTATCTCCATTCCCTCAAGTAGATATACAAGTAGCAATTAATGTATATTTTTGTTTATTCTGAATGACCATAGCAACTAAATGGGGATATTTATCTTCACTCTAACCAATTAAAAAAAAAAGTAATGGAAGTGTGTCAGACAACAAGAAACAAGGATACTAGTAGATGCTGAATTAAAGAAAAAAAGGCAGAGGTAGAAAATGATGTAGAGCATGAGATACTGATATGGGGGAAAAAAAAAAGGAAGAAATGTTAGCACATAAAGGTAGCTGAAGAAGACATGGATAGAAGGCTCATCCTGAGGGTTGGTAATATACAGCACTTAAGCTAGGGCCAGACTATGGAATGAAGTGAGGTACTTTAACAGATATTAGGCAACAAAATTAAGCTGCGCAAAACAAGTCAGCAGCAGCAGCGACTCACCTAAGGATAAGATGCGTGAGGGACTGGAGTGCAGCCAGAGAGTCGGACAGGTGTTTTATCACATTCTGGTAGAGGTTGAGTTGCTCCAATGAGGTGTAGTCAGTCACTTCTGCGGGTACCTCACTAAATCTATTCTTGGATAAATCTGAAACAAAATACAAATCAAGACTTAGACCAGGGAAAACATAAGCACTAAAACATAGTATAAATATAATACTAAGTATACTAATTTAAATTATTAAATATAGATTACATAAAGAGAAACACTAATCATAACTGATAATTTTTAAGAACTTTCATCTCACAAGTGATCTGCATTGAAAATCAATCAAAATATTAATGGTGACTAGTATAAATTAAGTTCACAAGACAGAGTTTAAAAAATAAACAAATTATAACTTAAGAGAGTGGCGTGATATTTGATTTAAGAAAAGTATTAAAAGTATAAAACAATTTAAAAATCAACAAAGACACCACCACCACTCACCCCGTCTACCCACCATCCTCACACCACCATAATCCAGCGGAGCTTCAAGCTGGCACAAACATTATCCAAGAGTAGACAGAGAGCCATTATCATATGAGAGCTCACACACCACAACCAGAAGCCACAAGAAGTGAGAGGAATCAACATACCAAAGAAGTTAAGCATGTTCCCCACACTGGTAATGGGAAATATACAGTATACCCCTCAGAATTTTTTGTTCAGTTTCTTGCATACTTTTTTGCAGCTTTCTTTCCTGGCACAATTGTAGAGAGGAGATGTTTGCCTGTGAAATAGGCTTTATCAGTATGTTCTACAGGCAAGTCTTAAAATTTCTCTCTGCAACTGTGCCTTTTTTCCTCCAATTGTTGGCTTTGTGCCATTTCCTTTCAGTTTAGTTTTCTGTTATTTCCACCTTCCTATCTCCCTCCATCCCCACTTTCACCAGCTACTCAATGGTCCTTCATATTCAATTTTCTATATCTGACTTATTTAGTGTAAACATTAGATCTAGTTTAGCAGACTTGTCACCTTTTGAACATGTCTCTGACAGGACAAGGTAAGTGGCACGCAGGGGCTGTGCCAAGGAGGGGAAAGCTTAGGGGGCTTCAGCCTCCAAACCTCTCTCGACAATTTTTTTTATTAACGCATCGGCCGATTCCCACCAAGGCAGGGTGACCCGAAAAAGAAAAACTTTAATCATCATTCACTTCATTACTGCCTTGCCAGAGGGGTGCTTACGCTACAGTTATAAAACTGCAACAGTAACACCCCCCCCCCTTCAGAGTGCAGACACTGTACTTCCCATCTTCAGGACTCAAGTCCGGCCTGCCGGTTTCCCTGAATCCCTTCATAAATGTTACTTTGCTTACACTCCAACAGCACGTCAAAACAAGTCTCCTAGCCCCCCTTCAACAAGATAGCCATCCCTAAACACCCCAGCATAAAAATTTTGGCGCTGACCCTGGTGAAGAGCAAGGGATAGATAAATGTATCTGATGTACTAGTTGTTGACTGTGGCTTCCAAGCATTAGCCTTGGTAGCACCTAGTTTTGCAAAACTCTCAAACTATACCTTTAATATACCTTTGATGAGTTTTGATAGTCTTTCTACTCCCCAAGCCTGGCCCGTCTGATGCTATGGATAAAAAAACAAAAAGGCACAATACCCTGACTGGAACAATACATAAACAACCCAACATAAGAGAGAGAGAAGCTTTTTATGTTTCGGTCACACTGACTTGTAAGTGGTCCAAGTCAAACCGAAATGTCGTCTTGAGCTTCTCTCTCCTGTGTGGGTTATTTGTGCAAGGATAAATACACTCATCTACCTTTTGGGACAATTATTAAACTAATTATTTCACCTCAAGTAGATGAAGAAGCCACTCATAGTGAAACGTTTCCTTTAATAAATGACCTGAATGGTCCAAAGGTCTCTTTATCCGTATATGAGTGATATAACCAAGGTCTACAGATGCTCTGGTATGAGAACATCACCTATTTCCGGTACAGGACTTAGGAATCAGCTGTTTGTCCTATTTCCAGTACAGGAAAAAGGAACTAGTTTTTTTCCTATTTCCAGTACAGGAAACAGGAACTAGCTGCTTGTCCTAAAGCTGTCCAGTCTTGATATTACTAGTTTACCCGGAGAGAGTTCCGGGGGTCAACGCCCCCGTGGCCCGGTCTGTGACCAGGCCTCCTGGTGGATCAGAGCCTGATCAACCAGGCTGTTACTAGTGTGCTCTGTTGCAGCGTGCTTTACTTCAGTACAGTAAACCCTCCGTATAACAGACTAATCTGGGAGACTGTCAAGTGTCTCCGTTAAATTTCTCACCGTCTCTGGTTCTGCCTTCTTTCCTGTTTCTTTCTCAATCCTCTCCCATTAATTACATATTCCTCCCTCTCTACCCCTCCCTTCCCTCTCCCTACTTGTTCTGCCTTTCTCTTCCTACTGGCCCTTTCCTCTGCCTCTCCGTCCACCTCTTCCACTCTTCCATTCTCCTACGCTCTACCTCTCCCTCCTCTTCCACTATTCCCTCCCCCTACTCTTCCTCTCTCTCCACCCCCTCCCCTTCTGCTCATCAAGCAGCAAGCTCTTCCTCTGCCACACCACCACTGTCATGTCAGTCATAATTATCAGCGGTGTGTGAGCAGCATCACACTGCTGTAGCTCACTTCTGCCTTGTTTGTTCACAGCCTAAATGATCGACTCTTGGCTGGAACGAGAGTAACTTATGGGCAAGTCTCCTAACACCTACTGTCCCTGTTCACCTTGCAGTAAAGAGATACCTATGTCTTATTCGACTATTAAGTATCACATCATGCAAAGAATATTTTTTTGGGGGGGAGGGGAGGGGGGGTATCCTGGGCTATTAACCCTTCGGGGTTAATTAACCTAACACAAACCGCACGTAGAAGCTTACGACGACATTTCGGTCCGACTTGGACCATTTACAAAGTCACACTAACACAAAAGAGCGAGGGAGCCACTACGTAAATGCTCCAAGTCGGACCGAAACGTCGTCGTAAGCTTCAATGTGCGGTTTGTGTTAGGATAATTAACACCGAAGGGTTAATAAAACATACAATGATTGCACTTGCAAAACATACAATGACTGCACAGTATCTTCCTTTGCAGACGATACTAGGATTTGCATGAGTCATCCATTGAGGACACGGCAAATCTCTAAGAAGACATAAACCAAGTTTTCCAATGGGCAACAGAGAACAATATGATGTTCAATGAAGACAAATTCCAACTACTCCATTATGGAAAACTGGAGGAAGTAATAACTAGAACCGAGTACGTATACAACAAACTCTAATTACACAATAGAGCTGTAGGAGGGTAATAATAATAATAATAATAATAATAATAATAATAATAATAATAATAATAATAATAATAATAATAATCTTTATTTCTACAAGTACATGTACAAGGTATACAGATTTAGCTGACATCAATGACATACTATACAGAAAGTCCCTTGTTATGCAGAGGATTTCTGGCAAATTACGTCAATTTTGTTCCCAGGATGCGACCCACACCAGTCGGCTAACACCCAGGTACCTCTTTACTGCCAGGTGAACAGGTACAGCAGGTGTCTTAAGAAAACACGCCCCCAATGTTTCCACGATTTTTCTAGTCAAAACTTGTTTTATACATAGGCATTATCCTGTTATCTCATTCTAAATGATAGTCACACAGTGTTAACAAAGCTAATTATGTTGTGTCATATTCCATCTTACAGGTGGGATTCTTCCAAGGTCCTTCCGGTATCAGGTGTTGAAATGTATCAGCCCGAGCTGGGAGACTTGAGTGGGGCGATGAGGATATCGTCAAGCATTCAAGCAAGGTTTCATCAGTTAGGAGAGTTTATATGAATACCTCTTGATACAACAGCTATGAACGTAACATATGGGACACTATATGAGGGTAGAAAAGCTAGCAGACACAAGAAGTACAGGAGGATGAATAATGGATGAAGCATCAACAAGTAGGTTTCAAGATGTTATTGAACACTGTATATTAGTCTTGAATTTCATTAATAACACACATTCCACTACTCTCTGAAAGTGAAAGTAAAGCAATCGCAAAAAAAAAAAAACTACAGAAAGATAGCATAAATATGGTACAAAATCAAAATCATCGAGTACTAGGAAATAAAATTACTGAACGTATAATATGACAACAGTTGCACCATCCAAGGCAACAGTTCCTGGGAGATCTGGTCCCAAGTCTTCACACACACATCATTTCCTACGAAAATAAGAGGACTGGCTGACAGCGCAAAATACCCCATGCCATGAGTACACTATGTGATAATTCATTAAGTGTAAAGGGACCAAGACTTTTCAACCTTCCTTCATACATAAAGGGAATTACCTACAGACCCGACCCTTAGCACCAACAGCCTAACTGATAAGGCCATCAACTCGGGGTCGGGTCTGGGACCGTGCTTTAAATCAATGGCATTAACAGGTAAACACGAAAGAAAAGAAGACCAAAGGAGGGAAAGGGAAAAAGAGGGGGAAGGGCGAGGAGTGGGAAAGCGGGGAAAAAGGGAAAACCTTAAGAGCTTCGTCCGTTTCCCTTCTCCCTTTACATTTTCACTGAACATCCCCACTACAACACCGTCACTGTACTACAAAACCCATACTACTATCACCGCATGACCATCCCCCAAATATTTTACCAACGTACTATCATGACCCCCTACTTCATACAATTGAACCTCTACCATCCTACAACCATTACCCCAATAAAAATTTAAAACCCACAATTTTGGATGAATCTTCAGAAATTTCTAAATGTTCGGGGCTTTTTGAAAGAGCCCCATCTTTTTTCCCTCGCTCCTAATATTTCAACCCTTTACACAAACTTTTCTTCACACCACAAACCCCTTGTTCTCCAATCACCTCCACAAATGCTCTCCCTCCCACTCACCCCCCCCTCCTTCCCCCCCTCCAACATTAAAAAAGACCCAAAAAATTAATGAAACTCTTGAAGTAGAAAAAGCATCCCAGCAGTACGAACAGCAGCACCACCACCACAACCACACCATCACAACCACAACAACCATCACCACCCCAACCATCACCATCACCACCACAACCACAACAACCATCACCCCCCAACCCCAAAACCT